GGTACCAGGAACCACTCTACCTCTGCAGCCTTTATGAATATTTTTAAAGTTATAATATGTAAAGGTCTTTATCATTATAGTTAAGCTTAATTCATGTTTGTTTCTTGAAAATGGCAGCAGTCGTGGTAATTGAAACTATAGGAAGAATGCTTATTAATAGAAAAACTCGGTTAAGAGCTTCCCTAAGATATATAAGAAATAAATATTCAATTCAGTCTCGATTTTTCTATTTTAGTATTATTTATGTATAATTCCTTTTTAAAGGAGTGTGATGATAATTTTTTTTTTCTAAGAGACTAAAATGACCTACTTTATAGTATATATGGTTTCGGTGTTTAACTTCCTTTTTTATAGGATTGCTATTTATAACCACTTCCCTCAACCCTGGGGGGATTTCATAGGATTAAAGACTTCTGATTCACTTTGTATTTGAAGTTATTTTTTCCCTCCACCTTTGCTCAGCTAGTGGAATCCATGATGGATTTTCATCTCCAAGGGGTAAGCTGCTTGTAGTTAAGTCTGATAGCTGACTTAGGTCTTCTTAGAAATAGCATCAGTTCCTTCCTTTTCCTGTGTTTTGTTTCTTTTAGAATGGTAGACTCCATGTAGACACAATAAATTACAATGCTTTAGTACTGTTAAGCATGTAATGGCTTTAGTTTTGTTCATGTAAATATTCAGTAAATACCTTGTGTCATAGCAGAGAAATAGATAGGAGTCTTTAGCATTCTCTTTCTTTGGCATGAGTAAAGTTACAATGAGAAAGGTGAGAGACAGTGGCACCCTGAGTTTATCTGAGGCATTAGATTATAGTCACAATTTATTTGAGAGGGTAGCATCTGATAAGAACAGCAGATGCAGGCACAGAATAGAATTTGGAAGAGATAATTAGGATTTAGGTACTTCAAATAATGATTTAGTCAAGTGTTTTCTGACACTTGGTTACCTCTGTAGGAGACAAATAAAATTCCTTGCATTTGACAAGTTGTGGAATTCATTTTCATTTAAGTTCCTAGTTAAAGTAATTATAAAAACTAATAAATAACATGCATAAAGTGAAATCAATTTAAAAATAACCTTCATTCACATTATATTATAGTGTTATGTTTCTTGAAATGTCCTTTGGTTGCTATTTTTATAGTGTATTAGTAAAAAATACTTGAATGGCCTCATTATTCAAATCCTTCCCTTTTTTCTACAAAGAAAACCAAAGAATGCTCTTGTTCTACCATATAGGAAAAAGTACTTTAATGGGTGTGATAAATATTTGTGGTTTTGCTCAGGAATACACAGCTATAATATAGTTGTGAAGGTCTTTCTGTTTTTATGAGGCTTCTTTAAAGGATTGATTAATAATCTTCCAGGGTGCTCATAAAGCATGTGTCTGTCAGCAGAATTAGAGACGCACCCAACTAGAGAACAGGTTTCACAATAGCCTAAGATGAATTCTGTTCATTAGAGGGGAAAATGGGTTTTAAGCCTAAATTGACATGCTTGCTAATTTCAGCAGTGAAAGCTGTTCCTTGGGGTCAGGTTTAATTTAGAGTCTGGGAAAATTCAAGTACAAGTTGATGGAGTTACTTTTACAACACACTTTTAAGTTTAAAGAAATGTAAACGTCCTCAAAGTAAATAAGAGTAGAGCAAGTATCTACTAATATATCTGTAAGTAAAAAGCAAAGAGTCCTGCTAACATTTAAGAGTCAACTAATAAGAAATCAAAAAAGATAATCTGACAGTTACTTCTTATCAAAATCTTTTCAATCGTTAAAAAATAACTTTCACTAGCGACACAACCGTAACAGGTAAATTTGTTCACTGCCACACCCATATCCCCTAGAAGATCTAGAATTGGAAAAAAAAAACCTGTAATATTCTAAATGAAGAAGTAAACAAATGGAAGAATTTATACCTTTTTATCTGAATGTATTTGTTTAGTTATCAAATTCAAGGTGAGTGTTTGGCATTATCTCTAGTTTGGGGGTAACATTTTAAAACTATATGATCTATTGACCATAATTATGCAGTTGAGAAGAAATCTTACTAAAGCAACTTTTCAACCTGCTGTTTTCCAGATGATTAACTTTTAGCATTCTAACCCTTGAATATGTCTTATTTTACAAAATCTATCTGCAGTTGTTGTCTCTGCCTTAAATTTTGTTCAGTACTGTCCAACTTACTTATGCTACTTACTTCAATAGCTGTCTTTGACAATTTGTTCCATATTTCAAACACACTTTTATATAAAAAACCATAAAAGTTAGAAACCTGAAAATTGGATTTTTCTTCTGAGCAATCACAACTTACAAATGCAGAAGAACATTTAAAAGCGAGTCACTCTGATTTTTTCAAAAAAAAAACACAGAAATATTCTCTAAATAAATGTACAGTGTTTGAATAAGTTTTTCTTACTATTTTAATATTACAAGAAACCATTGAGATTAAATCTGAAAGCTGTTCACAGAGAAAATGCTAAATAAATGATCCAGAGTTGCCCTTTCCAAAATCAAAATCACTAGAAAATTATCTGGTATCAAAGGGCATAAAGAGGTAAATTAGGTTCAGAAGTATTATTAGCTATCAAATTTTATCTTTTCACTTTTATGAACTTAACATTTAAAGTCTGACAAGTTCTAATGTAGTTATTAAGAGAACAAAAATAAAAGATGCATTCCGGCCAGGGAAGCAGGTAGGCTAACTGTAGATCTTTACTTCTTCTGCTTCTCCAAATCCAGTCCTCCAGTCTCAACCCCAAGTCTTCAATAGCACACGATTTTCTGAGGCCTTCATTCTTCCCCTGCCCATCTCTCCAGTGAATCATACAAATATTTTCCTTCTAATATCCCTTCCCCCATTCATTACTTTATACCAGTTCCCAAATCAAACAGGCACTTCCTGGGAGCACACAGGTCACTCTGACCAGGGGATCAAGTAGGCTCACTACAGACCTCCCCTTTTATTGGAAAAGAAGAAGTAAAGTATCTTTATTTGCAAATGATATGATAGGACACATAAGTGGTCCTTGCAGGAAATTCTTACAGCTCATGGGCACTTTAAGCAAAGTAGCGGGATACAAAATTAACTCACAAGAATCAGCTCTCATTGATACAAATAACAAATGAACTGAGAAAAAAATAGGAAAGCAGCACTTTTCACAATAGCCTCAAATAATATATATTATCTTGTGGTAGCTTTAACCAAGAAAGGGAAAAGACCTGTGTAGAAGGAACTTCAAGTCTTTGAAGAAATAAATTGAAGAAGATATGAGAAGACAGAAAGATCTCTCATGCTCATGGATAGGCAGCATTAAGATGGCAGAAATGCCCCCCTTGCCAAAAGAATCTACAGATTCAAGGCAACCCCACCAAATTCCAACAGATCTTTAATTTTTTTGCGGACCTTTAAAGGTTAATTTTCAGGTTCATGTGGAAACACACACAGAGAAAAAAACAGGATAGCTAAAACAATCCTGAATGACCTAGTGTCTTTGTTACAGACAGGAAGGTACTTTGAACATAAATCCAAATGCAGCCACAAATCCTTGCAATCCTTGATCCTGACTGCAAAATATACTAGTGTAATGGGGGCAGAAAACTTGTGCGAGTATTAAAGCAATGTCTCATTTAAGTTAAGCCCACTTCATGACCGGGAAGTTACACTGGACATTGCTAGGATGACCAAGAACCCAAGAAAAGATAGTCTAAGAACCTAAGGTAAAAAACAATAAACAAAAACTAACAAGTGAATGCACAGCATCTGTCAGAGTGCTTGTTAATAAATAGAAATTATTGTTGATTTCACCCAATTAAAGTAAAATTAAGTTTTGTAACCAGAACAATATTTTTTCAAATATTTTTTCATATTTCTAAGATTTTGGCCATTGACTATAGAGACTAAGATGGCAAATAGATATTGATGTTTGAAGACAAAAGGACGTTATTACTGATTAACATTTATTCTTAAAATGGTTTTTAATGTTAAGTTTATTATTGTGAATGGTTTCCCAAAAGTCACTAAATGTTAAAATTATTTATATGAAGATTGGCGAGATGGCTCAATGGTTAAGAGTGCTTACTGCACAGCAATGAAGATTAGATTTTGCATTTCTGTTTCTAGGATTCCAGTTCCTGTGAATAAAGGAAGGAGACTCAGTGAGGCTTGCTAGTTGCCAGCATATCTGAAAATTGTGAGCTATACATTCTCAGAAAGACCCTGTCTCAAAATCCTAAGGCAGTAAGTAAAAAAGGAAGACACCTGAACACTGTGACCTCCATGTGCCTTAGATAGGTGCCTGCATCTGCCAACACATGTGTACATTCACCACATACACCACTATACACCAAAATATTTATATAACGGAAGAGTCTAAGGGCTAGAGTTTAAGTGATGCTATTCAAAAATTTATGATCATATGATGAAGTGGAGAATGTATTAAAAATGAGTATTACCAGCTATTTATTAATTCATTAAGTCTGAAATGAATCAAAGAAGTTTGGTGATTTTCATGGCTAGGCAACTTTAAGGAAACTTGCTGCAGTTCATCTATATCAACTTCTCATTTTATATGTAATGAATTTTATTTACAAAGACATTAAATACTATATCTTAAATGATATATGAGATTTTCCTGTCTCTAAAAAAATTACCCAAGACAAGACTAAAATATAACTAACCCTTTTCAAATATACTGTGATGAGTCAAATTACATTTTTTTAGTTTATTTACACAAATCCAAATTACTCCATCTTAGTTCATAGGTAGAGAGGCAAGTCTCTGCTACAATTTTCATTTGAAATCATCTTGAATCTAAGAATGGAACACATGTCATATTCAGTTCCTTTCTATAAAGCCTCACAAACTGGAGATTCATATCCTGTTACGTCTTTTTGTTTCTAAAAATGTTTCAGCTGATTTGAAAATAGTCCTTTTCCTTTATGGTGTAAAAAAGGAATATACAATGCTGGAGAACTCCCAATGCAAGAGATATTTTTCTTCTTTCAGGCAACACTACAAGATTTGGAGCAGAGACGCCCCCAGTTGGAAGAACTCATTACTGCTGCCCAGAATTTGAAAAACAAAACCAGCAATCAAGAAGCTAGAACAATCATCACTGATCGAAGTAAGTCCCTCAATGGGTCAGGGAACATTAAAGCCAGATACATGAAATATTCAGTAAAAGCTCAAAGTATAGAAAATGTAATATATTTGTATATGATAACTATTTCACTGAAGAATATTTTCAGGATATAAAGTCATCCAGCTATTGAATATGATTCCAATGAATTGAAAATGTATGATTTTAGTGAAGCTCGGGTTTATGGAGTCTCAAGGCATTACATGGTGAATGTGGTGAACATAGTGTGGAGAGTTATAGTATCCTTAGTTATCATCTATCTGATCTGATGCTCATGGAGATAACAGTCTCTTTCTCATAGTCTTGATTGTTGGGCCAAGCCAACACTTGTTTCCTGAACCAACTTTAATGTCTCTCTACAACTTCTCTCTAATAGCTATCACATATTAAGTATCTTATAACTACCATATAAAGTGTATGTACATATAAAGTCTTTAAAAAGTCACCCTATGCAATTTCATAGTAATATTTTTGGTACATAAGTAACTGGGTTCCAAGTTACTCAGATTGTTAAAGCTTTCAAAACAAAGAGCATAGCTTAGAATTTTCAAGCCTCTTTATGGTTCGGCAACCTTTTCCTTTGAGTACTTTATCAACTCTTCTTTTATTTTTAATATGGTTACTAGAACTAAATACATTTATGTTCTGCAATTATTTATGTCCTGATTCACTTCCCAGAAACACTGTCTCTTTCATTTGCGTGGTGTTAATCTAAATGTCCTGTTCTCAGTTGTGAAATCTAAACTTGGATTGTTGTTCAAACTATGAATTTGTAGACAAACCAATGCACTAGGTGAACAGCATTAACCACTATGACTAGTAACCTCTCACATCTTGCTGGCTTTTATAGTAGATTACTTTTTTTATTCTGTTGCTGTCCCAAAATGTCACCTTGTATGCAGAACATCTTAGGCATTTAATCAATAGATAGAAAATGACTATTGCTCATAAGAATTTGTCATGAGCCAACCCTAAAAGAAATACACATTGATTTTTTTTATAGTCTATTGTTTGTGCCATGTGACATGAGCCTATGACTATAAAGACAGTGTGAAATTATTACCGGTATTGAACCTGTGAAGAAGAGAAATAGATGTGGAAAAAAACTAGGCAGTTTCTCCCACTACTACTATGGACAAAGAACAAATGTAGGTGCTATAGCTCTACATTTGATTTCAAAATGTCTTCTGTACATCCACCGTGACAAGAATAATGCAATGGCTAACAATGAGTCATTCAGTTGATATATCAGAACTTTCCTTCCCAAAAGTGGACTCTAAGAGTTTTCTACAATGTTACAATATATCAGCTCAAAACAGTAAATTTTAATGTGCAATTGTATTGTTTCTTTTCTGAAAAAGTAGGAAAATTTGGTAAAGATGTATATGCAAATCTTACCAGAATTTTAATCATTTATTATTTTGCTAAGGAGAAATAGCTTCCTTTCCCTAAGATAAAAATAGAATTAATATATTTGCAATATATGTTCATCATCAGATACAGATTTTTCCATTATCCCTTGCAATCTTTTTTACTCTATTGTGTTTACATTTTTTATGATATAGATTACAATTGAATGGCTGGAGGGCAAGTATATATTTCTCTGACAATATCTAGTGATTTGAATAACCCCGTGTTTCTAAGCTTTTTTTCTTTTATAACTGAGACCCTTTATAAATAACTGCAGCATAAGGAACCAATTCTAATTTAAATAGTCATGCTGGTTATTAAAGCATAAGCTAGAATCTGACTTCTGAACATTCATGGAGTTGCAAATGGTGCTACTTGGATAATTCTGACAAGATATGTTTGTCTAAACAATGTCATATGTAACACTGCTATGTTTTAATTTGTCTTCCTATTTCAAATCTATAAAATAGGATGAAAATTCAGTACTCACAAATTAGTGCTCAAAATACAATTTTTCTTTATATAAATTTGGTGGTTTTTAAGGATAGGGTGGGAATAAAGTATTTGCTCATAAAGTTGTATTTGCCCACTAATGGTTTGTTCTTCTTTTTATTGCCCTATACCTTCTAGAAATTCTTAAAGAATAATCATTTAAATAGAGAAAATATTTAATACATGTGTGATACTATATTGAAGCATTTCCCATCTTCGTAAATCCCACCTCATAACATTGCATGTTTTGAATATATATATATATGTGTGTGTGTGTGTGTGTGTGTGTGTGTATATATATACATATATATATATATATATATATATATATATATATATATATTCACATTGGCCAACACTATTTGTGAAATGAAAGGAAAATTATAATAAAGCAGGATCTGTCTTTCCATATATATAATATATGGTTATTACATTTCATCAAAAGCAAACAAAGTGAATAAGCAATTTCCTCACTAGTAGTAATAGACCTTAATAATTAGGTCTACAAAATAGCTATATGTTCTATCATACAAAACAGTTTCCTTGCTATCTGTTGCTTTCAGGCAATCATATTGTTCATACTCATATTTTACTCTAAATGAAAGAGTAAGTTTCCTTCTAAGTGAAATCAGATGAGACATTCTGGTGTTCAGATTGCTTATTTTTTCTCCAGTTCTTTCACTGCTGAATTTGTCAACAATTCCTGGTCATTTTCTTCTTCAAAGTGACTGGGTCAGGGGACCAAAAGCTCATAAATTAAGAATGATTTGAAGTTGCTTTCCTAGAGGTATCTGAATTATGCAAAATTCTTGTTCATACCCATTAATATTGCAAAGCATAATACCACAATAACCTGCATAGCAGTGCAGAAGATATGGAAAGACAGATCCTGCTTTGTTATGTTTTTCCTTTCATTTCACAAATAATGTTGACCAATGTGAGTCCCCTAACATTTGTATATGAGAGCCTTGCCTTTGTAACTTTTTCTGCCATAATTCCCACTGCTATCATTATGAGGCCATAAAACAAAAGCACATGCAAGTGTTGGATAGCAAACTGCCTGAATTGGCCATTGACTTTTTAACTTGTATAAAATCTCTAAAATTTCCTACCTCCGTTTCCTTTTTTATAAAATAGAATTACTTTTTCATGCCTTAGTGAGACAGCGTGTGGAATACTTAGGGCAGAACCCTGATAGAATCTCAGTGAGAGTAAGTGTTAGCTGGTGTTGTTTTGATTATGATGTTTGGATGATTGGAATGCATGTTTAGAGAGTATCTAATAAACTTTTAGTAGCTTTTCGTTTATCTCACTACCAAAAAAGCAGCAATTTAAAATGTTTAACAGTGAAGACTCCTTGGAAAACATGAAGTAAGTTATGTGGATAAATTAAATGATAAGAGAAAATTTTATCTGGGTAGTGAAGAAATTCATGTAAGTGGTTTCATTTCAATGTTCCTTATAAATAAAGGAAGTGCATATTGTTATTGCCATTTTAGAGATAGAAATTAAGTCTTAGGAAACATCAACTAAACTCGTGGAGGAGGTTAGGAAGATGATACATGAGAAGTTAGAAATCTAGCCTATGTCCATATGACGTTAAGGCTTTTAATAGATAAACCTGAAAAACTTAGTTATACATCAACCGTGGTTACCTACGTAAGACTTGTGAAAATTTGAAACAATCAATATTCCATCAAAATGGGGGAGGAGCTGCCCAGACCTGACCTTTCCTTGAAAAATTCATCAACACTAAATTGTGACTGAAGGAAGAGAAATCATTTTCTCTAGTGGTATAGGGATTAGTAAGTTACCCAGCCTCCAAATAAATAAACCCGACCTATGCTCATACAAAGACATCTAATAAATAAACACAGTAAATTACAAAAGTCTTGAAACTAGGAAAAAGGACTTTTGGGGGAATGTGTATGGTATTCAGTGTAAGTAGAAATGGTATAATAGTGGGGATAAATAAGATTAAAAGTACATTAGGCAAATTATGAATTTGTACAAGAATAAAAACTATCTTTTGAAAAGAAAAGATTGGCTAGTCGAAGACTAGAAAGTGTTGTGTTTGAGAAAGATCTTGTCCTGGTGTTTTATCTTCCAGTGGCTCTCTCAAACAATGCAGTTTGGGGCAAATAAGATTTGTACAAATCTCTGTGGCCTATAAGACCTTATTGCTGAAGATACCACATATGTAAATCATAGAACATGGAGAAATCAAGCTGATATGGACCTTCATCCACAATGACTTAGTTTTCATAATGCTGAAAGATGCTATGCATGCTACCAGAGAAGAAAAGAAATCACCAGTCTTACATGCTACAAACCCTTCGGCCTACAATAATGACTGACCTGACAAGAGGTACCCAGTGGTACTATAGTGGCGCCATCACCATGGGAGTAACCAACCACATTCTGCTTAGATTTAAGACCTGTTCCACAAGATGAAACCCATACCTGGGACCAGAATCAGGCTGAGCACCTATAGTTAGACTGTTCAGGTGTCACAAGAGAGAAGCCATTCTTATTATTCTACAAAACTGGGCATAGTATTAAATGAACTTCTAATGACTTATGATTATATCAATAGATCAGTATATCTATCAACTCTCATTTGAAGAGCTTTTATTTTCAGTAGATGGTGATCAACATAATGAACCCCAACTGACCCAAGCACAGGGAATAAGAGCCTGTAGAATGTTCAGCCCTAAAAGAAACATGCGTTCTACACCCTCTTATCCAACCCAAAGCTCAGAGACCGTTGGGGAAGATGGGATGGAAATATTGTGGTAGACAATTGCAAGGAAATATTATTTTTGTCAGAGCAGAGCAGCTTCATATATAATTATACTCAGCAGTTGGAAGAACATGTACAAATTGATGTAAGCCCAGGTCAGACTAGGAGCGTTAGACTCTCAGTCCACACTGGTTCTTACATTCTTTCTTCATCCTCTTATTCAGGGGTCCCTGAGCTCTGAGGATGGGGATTTATTGGAGATATCCCACTTATGTCTATGTGTTCCAAGGTCTTTCACTCTCTGCATATTTTCTGGCTGGGTCTCTATATTTATTTCTAT